CACCATCCTACACGTTAGCCTCCTATAATTATTTACCTCCAAGTCTAAAACATTTAATAAAAAACCAGTGAATGCTCTCATTTAAAATCCTTGCCGAGTGACTACAATGTAAAACAGATAATCCACTCTGGGATCCGCATTAAAGGATTAGTTTTTCCACCTACACGCTGTGTGTTGAAAACCTTTGCAATACACACCTGCTTGTTGATAATCTCTCATTTAATCATTAAATCAATACACAAATAAGATAAGGTATCCTCTCTCCTGTCCATATCATCTGTCTAAATCATTGTCCGCTTACAGGGGGATCAGGTGTCCTCTCACTCTGCTTTCATATCTGCAGCGACCGTAAGAGAAACCTAATCAGACCTTTTTAATTAAAGAGGCCGGAGTGTTGGAGGGACGAGAGGAGAGGGGGAGGAGGTGAAGGGAGGCGAAGATGAGGGTGGATGAAGGGGAGAGGACGAGTCTGTCTGCTGAAAGCCACTTAAATCCCTTTCTTATTAACTCTCTGTGACACATGATCCACCTCCACACACACACAACACACACACACACACACACACACACACACACACACACACACACACACACACACACACACACACACACACACACACACACACCACACACACACACACACACACACCAGCTCCTCTTACGATAAGAAACAGCCGTCTGCATCTCTGCCTGCATAGCTTCATTTTGCTGCCTCCCACTACTCACTGAATCAGGAAGGATTTCATTAAAGCTTAATTTAAGACAGATATTGCAGTGACATTTTCCTATGCAAATGCAACCTAACCTCCAGCCGAGGAGGCCAGTGTAACTAAATGTAATTGACCGAGCTGGAAAAGGTGACATTTCTTGGGATAGTGAGGAAAAGTTCATCCTGCTCCACTTCCACTAGAAGGGATAGACGTACATATGCAGGGGCTTTATGTCGCTGTGATGGTTGAATACAAACTTTTTATTACAATTTCCATCACTTGATAACCAAAAAGGGTCTTCAAAATGTTATGTTCTTTATCGCAAATGTTATAGCCACTTTTCTGCATGCAATTTGCTATATCATTGTAAAAATAATTGTAGAATAAACTCAGGTAATTTGCTGACTTGTTGAGTATATCATTATTAGAATGATCCTATTAAATATTGTCGCAAAACAAATATTTAGTTTAGACTTTAATGGTTTGCGGAGGACACATCCTAAAACCTCAACAGATACATTTGTTCATGACCAAATATGTTCAAAACTAATCCTATTAGCCTGAAGCTGTACTTGTTTAATGCTATTTAGCAAAGATTAGCATGCTAATATGCTAATCTATGATGATAAACATGGTTAGCATTGTATTTGCTTAGCATCACCGTGTTAGCTACCTTTTTCTGAGCCTTTTGCGTGCTAAAATTAGCATTTAGCATAACAAACAGCCCCACAAAGTTAGAGTACTTTTCATTGAGATTTTGGCCAAATAGAGTGAATTTCATCTTTATTTTTACACAACACCTTCACCTATCATATTGTATTTCAGTGAGAACACATTTTCAGGGCTTTTGGGGATTTTTATTGCCAATACAAAAGGATGTGAAAAGAAAGTTGCTCAGGCGAAATGTTTTCCAGAGATTACATCATTAATCTCCTCCTGTCTGTGTCAGGTGATTAAAAATAAGGAGAGGGTGAAGTGTTGAGGGCACATATATGAAAACAGTCGACTCGAAGATATAAAACACGTGCTGTGGCAGATCCACATTAAAATGTCATGTTTAATGCGATGGATTATCCAGCTCAGGCAATTTTCAAGTGACTGGGGGTTGTTTTTCATTCTGTGTACAAGATATATTGGCTTCTTCTTAAGGGAGGAAAACACTAATATCTCCTACTGCTCAGACAAAACCAGACCGATGTAAACAACATGTTTTTGAAAGAACTTTTATTTATTAATAGTACCACGGTACCTTTTCCCAACCTTGAAAGTGCCGTGAGTTTCTTTGTGCCGAGTCTTGCAGAATATTAGCGTGCTACATATAAAAACCCACATTGGGAGAATAAGCCCTGCACTAAGGCCCAGGCTCCACGGGAACCCATACGGCAAAACGCATCGGAGTAACGCAAACGCAACCGCAAAATACCTTCCGCCCACACGCAATATACACCGGATTGTGTCTTGCTACACGAGACAGCTCCGTTTACATCCAACCGCTGGAAAAGCTGCAGTACATATGCCGAGCCTGTACGTGGCGCTGTAACTTCCTCCACAAAAGCAGCAACTTCCTCCACAAAAGCAGCGAAGAAGAATGGTTGTCATGGCTGCACTTCTGTTTATTCTCCGCGGTGGGGGCCGAGGGAACCGCGCAGAGTTTTTCGCCGGTCAACGTGTGTTAAAGTTTAAATCTTCCGGACAAAATTATAAAAGTGCCGGTCAAAGGTCTTCTTTGTTATTTATTGAGCTTTAAAACAAATGAATAACGACGATATAATGATATATGATAATAAAATACACGGAGCCTGTCTCTTTTTCCTCTCTTCTGACAGCGTCAGTGTCTGTCTCATGCAGCAGTTGATCCAGTAAGTAAACCCGACAGTAAAAATAAACATATTTATAACTAGTTTAGGTAGTTTGAGAGGTAATTAAAATAGCTAAGGGTGATGATCTGACTTGAAGTGTGTGTTTTGCTCCCGCTGCATCACAGCGGGAGGAGCTGCGTGTCTCCGTCAGATTAGACTTCACTCGCGTTTATGTCCATATGAGATAAAGATAAATAATCTGAATTCAGTGTGCAGTGTACTTTTGCGGGGGTGAGCAGCAGAGGTGGGGAGAGGCGGGGAGAGGCGGGGCTATGAAACGGATGACCATATAGGCTACCACACGGCCCCGTTGGACCCCCCAGAGCGCTCCGTTCCCAGATCTATCCACCTTTGGACCCGTTGTCGTTTGCGGGGTCTGTTTCTACGTTTCCGTTACGGCGTCGTCGAGCTTAAAGGGCTATACGCATGAGAAATATGCGGATTCAACCCGTTTTCGTCCCCGTGGAGCCTAGGCCTAAAGCTAAGAAGTACTTTTCTAGTCTTGCTGGGTGAGCTTTTTATATGTCTAAAATGAGTCTGATATGTGATGGACAATTAGTCAAATGGCCGTCTGAATTTCCTGTCTCTTGCTTCGATGTCTTTCCAGTTTTCTTGGTAACAGTTTCCTGCAATTGACTGATTGTTTTTGTAAGTTAAAAAGCAAAATACCCCCAAAAATTGGAAGATTGGCCGATTTTTCTTTGCGATTTTGGTCTCTGCAGATTAAAAGATTAAATATACTTGGGATTTTGACTGTTGGATTAAACATTTTTGGAATAAAGGAAATAATGAAATGGATTCTACTTGGCTAGATACTGCATCACTGTTTGTTCTTCCGGAGTCTTTTCATCCCTCAGTCTTTAATCAATTTGGACGATGACAACTCAACTTCCTTTTGTTATGAAGATAAATATACGATGCGATTGTGTTCCAATTATGAAGCCGGCAGAGGACATTCTGTATTGACAAAAACAAAAGATTAACTAGCCAAAAAACAACCAAACCGTGTCTGCGGCAATCTGTGCATCAATTAGTGTGAGTGCATGAGTGCATGTTTAATAGAGGCTTAGTGTTTTTGTGCATCTGTGTGTGTCTGCACACATATGTGTCAACACACATTCCTGCTGAGCACAACCAGCGAAGCATCGCAATCCCAGCTGTTTTGGGATTGGAAAACAATTACGTCAGTTTTCTCTCTTAATCTCCCACAACTCAACTCAAGGTCAGCTGTCAGTTTTGTTGAATGCTTAATTAGTCTTTGGGAAACATCTTGATTGTGCTTAGAACCTGGGGCTCACTTCTCTTCAACACAGTTGTTTAGTTTTCACAGAAAATTATGTCCTATCATGTATTTTGTATGTCCTATCATGTCATTACAAATTGAAATTAAGTTTTTGCAAGCTATTTACGTCATATGTTAAATAACTTAAGTCATTATAAAGAATGTGTAACTTAGCTTTTTCCAGATTCCCAAATGTAAGGTTTTGTATCACTATTCATTTAATATTTAGAGGTGTGGGACTCTTTGTAAAACAACAATGAAGCAATTAGAATAAATCATCTTTGGCGCTTAAAGAAACTAACAGGCATCTTTTAAATTAGTAGTAGACTTAGAAATATGCTTCAGTTCTATTTGATTTGAAAGCAAGTTGCATGAGTCTTGGTCAAAACACCAATATGAAATGTCCCTCCCTGTGCAGCAAACCCTTAATGATCCCATTTACTTAAGTGGCAAATCGATGCGCTCATGCTCCCCTACCATGACTCCACCAATTGGTGTATGCATGTTGCTTTGAGTAACAAAAACGTTGGCTATCGTGGCTGTTGGCATGTGCATGGACGCTAACAGGACAGTGTAATCAAGGAGACAGACGTTGGCCGTTGTTATGCAAGTGAGATGCCGCCGAGAGAGGCTTGGACTCCTTCCCAGGTTCCATCTCGTCGTGGCGGGTCAAGTGACACGGAGCGCTCTCACTGTGAAGTGCTGTTAGTTTTTCTCATGTGCATGTCCCTCATTACCGACAGGACCTAATGTACCTGCCCATCTGTCCACAGTTTGAGTATAAAAAGGTGTAACTGTGAGTGTGACTATTACAGCTGTGGAAGGTAATGAAGGTATCATTCAGCACATTATTAGAGTGACAAAAGCCAAGCCTCGCTACCCTTTGCTAATGGATCCCGGCCATTATTTGCGGAGTAAATCCTCCTTACCATGTTCGTTTCCCTTTTCTTCCCGTCCTTTCACTCATTTCTGCTACCTCTCATCTTTTTCTCCCTCTAAACCCCCCTCTCATTTTCCCTAATTCCCCGTCGCCCATTTTCACCGCCGTTCTTGTTCCACCTCATGCTCATTTTCGCTTTCTCATTACACCTCCAACTGCCCTCCTTCTCCTTCTCTGCCTTAACTCATGATCGCTTTCTTCTCCCGCAGTCCCAGTGAAGCGGAGAGAGAGATGTCGCAGAAGAAGATTTTCCTGGTCTTCGTCGCCATCAGCACCGTCAGTCTCCTGCTGCACCATGGGGGCCACTTGAGCTGGTGAGTGATTGAAACACGCCCTCACATATGCAAACGCTCACATTATATACCCTCTATCTCTCTGTAAGTTCAGACGGTGCTAATTACCATGAAGATGTCTGTCTTTTCAAGGCAAATGTATAGCAGGACTGTCCTATTATAATTCTCAGACATGGAGGGTTTGAGTGCAGATGCACTGCCAAAGTGGTCGAGGGACCAATTATAAAAGTAGTGAGATCATAGATCTCTGACAGCCCCTTTGTACCCTTTTCAACTCAACGTTTTGCTAATAAAATCATTTTCACATTGCCATCTTTGGAGTCTCTGTTATTGCTCTGCCCTTAGTGTCTATACTTTTCACACATTGTTTCCACACCTTTTAAATATCCCACACTTTAGTTCTGTGTTCAGGGAATACTAGTGTGAGAGTTTTCAGTGTGCACCCAATATGGACGTGTGATTGGGCTTTTTTGTGTTGTCAGATTCAGCTCTTTTCCTAAGGTAAAATTGTATCATGAATATTCATCCTGATTAGAATTTGGCTACACTGGGACTCCTAAAACATCTTTTTGTTGTTGTTACCCCACTATATTGGGAATAAGAAGATGCAAAGGATGACATTTTATGTCAGGCCCTTAAGTGACTTTTCAAGATCACTTGCAGATGCGGATATCTTCCTTAGAGTATAGGACTAAAATCATTATCATAATTACATGCTCTTGGGAAATATTGAATAGGTAAAGAATGCATGCAGTACAAACAATTCAAACATACCTCATCATTATTCTTTCTCTTAGTTTCTGATACCACGTTTCTATTTTCAGCATGTACACTGAATATTACTAGACTACTTTCATACACCTTAGTCTCTTACACTAACACTCCATGGCCTGTTGCAATGAAGCCTCAAATAAATTAATACACTCTCTTTTTCTGTCTCTAGGACCATGGAAGCCTTCCACATCGGTTGTCCTGCCCTTCGTTCCCACCCTGCCCCAGGCCTTAAACCAAAGCACACCAATGTGGTCTTCCTCAAGACCCACAAAACGGCCAGCACCACCATGCAGAACCTGCTCTTCCGCTTCGCAGAGCGCAACAACCTCACGGCGGCGCTGCCCGTGCAGGCCTGCTCCCACCAGTTCTGCTACCCGCGCTCCTTCACCTCCCACTTTGTCCACCCGCACACGCTACCGCCGAACATCATCACCAGCCACATGCGCTTCAACAAGGCTGAGCTGCAGCGGCTGATGCCCAATGACACAATCTATATCACGATCCTGAGAGAGCCGGGATCCATGTTCGAGTCTTTGTTCAGTTACTACAACCAGTACTGTCAGAGCTTCAAGAGGGTTCCCAACGGATCCCTTGAGGCTTTCTTGGAGGAGCCCTGGAAATACTACCGACCGGATGAGAAGGACTCCATGTACGCACGCAACACCTTGACCTTCGACTTGGGCGGAGACAAGGACCGCCCAGCGAAAGATGAGGCGTATGCGCGGGGCTTTGTGGCAGAGGTGGACAGAGTCTTCTCCCTGGTGATGATTGCTGAGTACTTTGACGAGTCGCTGGTTCTCCTACGACATCTCCTCTCTTGGGATCTGGATGATATTCTGTATGTTAAACTCAACATGCGGACGCCAAGCTCAAAGCGGAGCCTGACGCCGGGCCTTCCTTCAAAGATCCGTGCCTGGAACTCCTTAGATGCACGTCTGTACGACCACTTCAACGCCTCATTGTGGCGCCAACTATCGGCTCTGGGTCCAGCTTGTGTGGCGAGGGAGGTGCGACTCCTCCGGCAGGCTCAGGAGAGGTTAATGAGAAGCTGCTTCGGAGGGCGCATGCCGCTTCTCCGATCGGCAGCACAGATCAAAAACAAGGATCTCCGCCCTTGGCAGCCTAGTGGGAAAGTTGACATTGTTGGCTACGACCTCCCGGTAAATCTCAGCCGTGGGTTCTCGAGTCAAGCCCAGGAGCTTTGCCTCAAGCTCATCATGCCAGAGGTCCAGTACACACGGGTGCTTCTACGTTCCCAATCACTGCGCTACCGTCGAGGCTACCAGCTCCGGCCTCAGCAGCAGACACATCCCATCCAGCAGCCCATGCGCACAGTCCTGCCTCGGCATCCTCAAGTGCAACGCAGTCAAGCCCCCGGCCCTGCATCAGGGACTCGGTCCACCTCCACCTCAAAGCCCGCTGCAGGAACTCAAGGCCGGACCACAAAGATAGGGTCTCGATCGGCACAGACCCAGGCCTCGCAGACTGAAAAATAGAGACTGGAATATAGTGCCCAACAGACTGCATTGTCCTACCCATCCTGAAGCTTGAGACAATGGGACCTGGTTGGTGGGGTTGTTGGAAAAAGTCTGTGTTGCTCTTGAGTCAATGTCTCTCCTGTCCCGTACAGACAGAGTTTGGGATAACAATAACTGAGGGACATCAGAGGAAAAGGGGGTTAGACATATCTGGACTTGAACTTGAATATGTGCCCTCTCTGGTCTGTGAAACAGTCTTAGGACTTGAGGGCAGGAGGAATCTACTAAAGGACCTGGCTCACTTCTACGCCAAGTTTTTTTAGGTGAAAGTGGTTATTTGAAGCAAAATCTGTTATGTGCGACTGGGACTCAATAGGGAAGTGGCGATATCGGGGCCTATTGTGAGGCACAGAGTAGGCGTTGTGTGTATCACACTGGTAAAGCATCATGTTACTTGCTTTCATTCCTTGCTCTCTCCTCCTAACATATGCCACTTAAAGTCCTTGAGAGAGCCATAATGACATAATGGGATCCGCTGTCAGGCGTCCAAAGAGCCTTTTAAGAGGCCAGACAGTCATCGAGATCAGCTCCAACCGTTAATACAACAGCACAATCAACAACTCTTCTTCTTCTTCTCTTACAAACTTTAGACGCTAAGGCAAAGGAGGGAGGGGAGTTAAAAAGATTACAGAAGATATGCGTGAAGACTGGATCCATTACAGAGACTGAACGAACAGTCTCTTCGGCCTTTGACCTCATAGGCTTCCTCTACGCATCCTCCTCCTGCTCTCATCCCTGCTGCTAGCCTCTGGTTGGGCAGAACCTCCAGAGAGTTGCGTGAACATATTTTGTTTTTCTTCTTCTTTGATTGATCTCTCCCTCGGACCTCCAGCTGCGATCACATCATAGAGCCTATCTAGGTTTCTGGATGTGGGGGTTTTGTTTTTAATCTTGGCCGTTATAGCAATAAGATCTCTGTGCCTGCGCCACGAACGAAAGGCATGGATTTAATAACATACCAGCAACCCCGCACAGTACAAACAAAATCAACTGGACAGGACAAAGACTTGAAGCCTGTGGGTCGCAGTGTTTGAATATTTAATCGTCCCCTCTCATGGCCTTCCTATGGCATATGTTCTTGGGTTACACGGCTGTACATTTTCATTTAGAATACAAGGACCAAAATCATTGTGAACTCGGAAACGCAGGAGGCGAGAAAGCATCGATGTAGGGTGTTTAAAGCCTCTTAAGGCTGGTGGGCCGGCTGGTTTGGCTGTGATCTTCAAATGTCCTCACTTATCTCGGCTTTGATCCGTTTTTTAATCCATTCTGCTCATATTTTAATGTGTCATTCAATTTCTTTTACTCCTCATATGGTCACACTGCTAAGTAGCTGGGAGGCTGAGGGAAGATGTCTGTGTGTATGTTCTGTGAGTGTGTGAAAGTGTGTGTGTGTGTGTGTAAGACAAGAAGCAGCTTTCTCTGCTTCATGTTGTATTTTGTTCCCAAGGCCAGCCAAGTTGGCATGGCAACAAAAGGAAACCATTTATGTGACATTTGTGAAAACTATGTGTTATTTATTATCGGGATTGAAAGAGTCCCATTACTGTATTTTTAACTGTTATTTTTCACGAGTCACTGGATAAAAAACCTCTGTATGTCGGTCTTTTCCCTTCAGGCAGCTGACGTGGAACAAGGCATGTGGCAATGATATAAAATATACATGTTTTACATAATGCAAAACTACAAAGACCACTCCCGGAAAACCACACATTGAAACAGGTGTTGTCGCTTTAAAATGAATTTTTCATTCAGCAGTGCTTAAGTGCTCAACCACACAAAGCTTCTGTGGTGTGAGTGTGTCGTACTGTAGGTTACAATAATGAAAAAGAAAAACCACTGCTGCTCTGACAGGAATAAAAAATGGAGCGGTTGGAAAACAAACCGGAGTCGAGGATAAACAGTTTTATGAAGTGGCTGTGAATATTTAAATTCAAAGTGGGCTTATCTGAATTACCGGGGAACCTCAGCTCTGAGAGCACGAGATGCACAGCAGTCTTTTTTTATTTATTTACCGCTTTATGAAATGTGTTCATATATGTGTAATAGGTACATACACTGCAAATACTCACTTTAACGGATGAGGCTGGGTTTTTTTCACGTCTCTGTGTCAACAAACGCTGGAAACCTGCTGTAAATCTTAAAAAACGGGACACAAATATGTGCTTTCATTATTTTTATTTTTTTTATGCAGCTGTGAAATGTAGTTTTGAGGAGCTGTTACTTTAACAATAATAAGGCTTTTTGGGGACTATATTCTGCCGGGGATGATTGCACATTTAATTCCATGCTGAGTATTTCCAGGGGCAGACGGTGTATTAAGGATTAACAAAAGAACCGGTGTTTGTAATAGTTGGGAGGATTTTGGGATTAATTCATTGTTTATTTTGGCTTTTTAATGGATTTGGTGGCGATTGAAGTACTCATAATATCTAATACCACCGGCCTTATACATAAAATCCGTTTGGTGATGATAATTATCAACTATATTTGAATTAGCTTGATTTAAAGCTGCTACATGTAATAGAAAAATAATTGGGTTCAAGTAAAACTCCTGAATTGCTTCAACTTTATGTAAAATAACAAGAAAACACAGAATGAATGTGTTTCTCTGTCGACCATTAAGCATTGTGCATTTGTGCAATAATACATAAATGAATAAGACGTTATGGCTTGCATAAATACAGTCCTCATGTATACAATTATGAAATGTTTTATTTAGATTAAACTATTTTCACAGTTTTACAGGCAGCTTTTATTATTATAATAGCAATATTTCAAAACGCCACTTTTTACCACAGTGTTTTTTATTTTCAAACAGGTCAAACAGGGCAAAGGCAGCTGTGATGTTCGGGTATGAGTTATAAGAATAATGAACATTTTGTTGGATTATTTCACAATGTTACAGATTTTGTCTGTATTTCTTCCTATCATTTATTTTATAATGTCCTGTATTTTCATTTGATATGGTACGATTTGGGCAGAAAATGTGATCCTAAGGTTGTGTTCAGGTGCTTTCTGGCAGTCATTTGTAGAAAAATAATGGCAAATAAACTGTACGATCTCAATGTGTATTTGAAAATACATTTCCTCCTATGTCTGACTGGGAGCCAGCTGAAAAATATGTTTTTATTTCGCCTGAAATGTTCATTTATGATCCATCTCTCCGTGGCTGTGAGTCTCTCTAAGTGCTGTCTTGATTGTACGAGTTGTTCGCCCGGCTGTTCTTCTTCTTGTGGGAGAGTTTCAGTAATGGTCATGCTGTCGTGTCTCAAGTGTTGGCTATAATTCTTTTTAAAAAAGCCAGAGAAGCTGTGAAAATAAGTGCTCTCAAATCTCATCCTCTTCACATTTACCACCTCTGCTTCGACATTACAAAGCTGTGCGTTTTTTTTTCATTTTACTGGAAAAATAAACTTCTTTCATGTATTGCCAGATCAATATTTTGAGCCTTTACGTTGCAGGAAAGTAAAAGAGAAACCGTTAATACTTGATGATTCTTGGACCGTATTTTTCCTCCATGGCCTCTTTGATCTGCTCACCCTTTATTTCCATCCTCTGTTTATGGACTCATCTGTGAACTGTGAAGAATGAGGTAGATTTTGATCTCATTTTGGTGATTGATTTGAAGAGGTGGGGGACTGGGCTCTGAACAAAATGGCTAAAGACAATCAGAGCTAGGGGCCCCAAATCTTTGTAATGATGGAAGGTGAACGTGACGAATAAAGTTTGAATGATTTCAATTCCTCTGCGAGTGGACATGTTCTTGTCTCGGCCATTTCAATGCAGATTTATTCAGATGTGCACTGACTTGAATTATTCTGAATATTAGAGCAATACACACACACACACACACACACAAACAAATGCTCTTCATCAGCAGTGATACATAACACACAGTGACACTAGCTCAATTAAGATTCTGAATCTTAACGTTTTCTATTTCCCAGAAAACCAAAACCAGACTTTTCAGGCTGCAATCAGTCGTTGAAAATGACCTCTATCTAGCACGCCTGCCTAAATGAATGAACAAATTGCTTCTCCGAGGGACATAACAAAATGCAAACTAGTGTGTTTGATATGACTGTGATTGAAGCAATCATGATGCTGTGCCCCCTCTGCCTGTGTTATTATGGTCTGCTGTTGCCATGGTGGCCCTCTGACCGATGTTTCCTTTGAAACCTTTGCAGCCGCCTTTTTTTGCTTTTGTCTTTCATTTAATTATGGATCTAATTGTGAGCATGATCATAGTAGTGCTGTACAGATACATTCCAGGTAGCAATCACCTAAGAGTGTATGTAAATGTTTGTACCATTTAATCAATTCCATATTTAATACGTCATTTATTATAAGTGATTAGTTATTGACTTTTTAGCCTTGCTAGTGCCCCTTAGCGGCAATGGAGTTTTGTCATTCTTTCACATATTTGTTATAAATATTGTCTGGATTGCCTTTAAAATGTATACAGATATCAATTTCCCCCCCAGAATGAATTGAAATCAATTTCATTTCCTCTAGCGCCACTAGCTTTTATGCTAATTAGCACATATTAGCATGCTGACTAGCTCAACTGAGGCGCCGTTTACACGAGGAGAAAACTGCTTGTATCTGCATAGTTTCGCGTGCGTATAGCCCTATTATTTACACGAGGCCGATAGAAACTGACCCCACAAACAATAACGGGTCCCAAGGTGGATAGATTTGCAAACGAAACGCTCTGGGGGGTCAACCGAGTCCGTGTAATCACCTCGATACGAATATTTCCTGAAAAAATAACGATAGCCCCGCCTCTCCCCACCTCTCCTGCTCACTGCTGTATCAACTATCAAAAATAGCTGTGTTAATTAAACGCACAAGGGGTTCTTGAATGAAATAATATTATAAAAGGCAAACCAGAATTGTTAACGCCCAATATACTCCTTAAACAAAATAAACAGAGTCAGATTTCATGCATTGATCCATTATATTGACAAAGGAGGATCTCACCCGGTGTTTGTAGAGAATATCTCTCTCTTTCTGAGCCGTCCTCTCCACGGAGTTGTTTTCTTTCGTGTTTCTTGGTCGGGATGCAATATCCACAGATTGGTTTCTTTCAGTTTCAGTTTCAGTTTCGGGGCTTAAACAGAAGGGTAGCCATGGCAACATTGCAGCGGGGCTGCTCGGTTGCTCTTCTTCGCGGCTTTTGGTGTATTTTGGCGGAAGTTACAGCGCCACTTACAGTCCCAGCATATGTACTACAGTGTTTCCAGCGGCCTCGTTTGAACAGACACGTTAAATGAAACAAATGCATGTGAACGGAAATCTTTTTTGAATACGCATACTGTGCATAAACGCAAACGGTCCCGTGTGAGCGGGGCCTGAGTTGGTGAACACTGACTATTATCCCCAGACTTTTTACGTTTGCGACCCTGGTCAAAGTTTGTGACCAGTTTAAGAGAAAATATCTGAAGAAGTACTGACGTTCCCACCTGCCCCACTGCACTGTGTATCAAGCAAATGTTAGCTTGCAAAGTAGCTGAACTAAGGTGGTGAAAATGCTAAACAGTACACTGCAGGGTTGCCAACTCTCACGCATCTGGCGTGTGACACACGCTTTCACTCTCAATCTCACGCTCTCACGCTGCCCAAACTATTCTCACGCCAAAAACAAGAATACCGAAGACTAGAAACGGTTTTGAAAACTTTTGTCACGTAGTGATCGTCTTCTCAATAGAACATCTTTGATAATGTCTTCTGGCCAATCAGAATCACGATAACGGCGTGGTGTTGTTGCAGGAAGTCCCGACGGAGAATACTTTTGCGGTAGTACATCTCTATATACATCGATACAACATTACGTGTTGATAGAAATCAACACGTAATGAAATAAGACCCCACGGTTTAATGATGGATAGGTGTGTGGGCTGTCTTTCATTTTGACACACAGAACAATGGGGGCTATCCACCCATATCCACAATGTAAAGTAATTCACACAGCCTCTTCCCTCTTCTCTCTGTTCAGAACAAAGTCACACAAAACTAAAATGGCATTCATTTTTTTTAAATATGTCGTGTAGTAATAGATTTATTTATTTTTCTTCTCAAGAGAGTACCAGAATGTGTATTTTATGTTAGTATTTAAAAAAATCTCCTGGGGGAGAATCCCCCCAGACCCCCCTGCAGGGGTTGGGTTTTCAGCATGTCAACTCTTTCACCTGTGGGGAAATTGCAGGATTGGCTCCAGGTCGCCCTTTTTATTTACTACAAGACAAATGTGCCTTTTTATTTCATACAGTTCAATTTGGATTGAGACAGGGAAATAATCTAAACCTCACGCGTGGCGTTTCACTGTCGGGGGGAGCATGTAATTACATTGCAAATACTGACTTGAGCCCCACCACTGTATTGGTTAGCCCTACCATAGATTACCCAACAAAAATACTCTGGAGCCGCAACTGCCGACCCGTATTGCGCATGCGCAGATCTAAGATCCAGTAGAAATGATAAAAAAGTAAAAGTCTGCTGCTTATTGTTCTACTAGGCCAAAATAGAGTCAAAGAGTATATGAGAGTGAGAGTGTGTTAATTAATATATTTGGCAGTTTGGAGTAAGTCTGTAGATGTGTTTGTGTGTGTGTGTTTCATGTATAGGCCTCTCACGATAATTAATTTTGTTGGATACATTTTCCCGGAAATTATTGCGATAAACGATAATATTGTCGGCACCGTTGTATGACCATTTTAGACCACTGACATAATGATAATATTAGGGCTGTCAAGTTAACGCGTTAATAACGCGTTAACGCAAAAAAAAATTAACGCCACTAATTATTTTAACGCGATTAACGCATGTGTATTTTTTGTCCTCGGCCGCCGTAGTTTCAGAGCGCATCGAGTGTAAAATACCATCGACAAGCTGATGCTGACAGCCCCGCTCCTGCCGCCCGCTTGT